TGATATTTCATTATATGGAGCTTCTGTGGCTCCAGTTCCTACCATGAGTTGTGTAATATCCCACACTGGAGCTGAATGGAATGTTCCACATATTTTACTCTGCTCATGTGTGCTGGTGTCCATGTCAGGGAGTGAGTAAAGCTCACAGGTGAGAAGTGACAGTTTACAGAATGAGGAGCCTGAAATCAGGTATTTTCCTGTTGTGTTTTCATTGGAAATGAGTGTATCTGTGGAATCTTTCCTTTGGTCCAGTGTCCTATCCAGGAGTCACACGGCTGTGTGCAGCTGCCTCTGTGTTGGTGATGATGGGAGTGAGCAGCACCAGAGCTGGTGGGCTTAGTTTTCCAAAAGACTTGCACATTTCTGCAAGACTTGTCCCCCCACAGGAATTTTGGGTGGAGCTCTTTTCATCTGCATCATTAGAAGAGTTACTCTGAAGGTTTTTTACATAGGTATTTTTAAATACATGATTGTGGAAATAAAATTTTCCTTTTGTGACATCAAATTAACAAGAATCAAAATTCAGCCTGTCACAAAGAAGACCAGCATTGCAGATAATGATGGAGTTGTGCTGGTTTACAGAACTCGTGTTGACCATAGTTTATATATTATTATGCATTAAAGATAACAATACGCTTCTAATATAAAATAGACTCTTCATCTTGATTAAATGCTGTTGTGCTACTTACAGTACTTAAAAAATTCTTATTTCTGTTTTGTAATTTATATTCCCTCAGTTTATATTCTCTCAAATCTGTTTTTGTGAGGAGAGGAAGGGTCATGGTAAGGCAAACCCAACTTATGTATAATCCTCATCTGTGCCTCCTTCTCCACTTCTTCCCTATGCAGAAGTTCATAGAGTTTGAAGATGCACTGGAACAGGAAAAGAAAGAACTACAAATCCAAGTGGAACACCTTGAATTTCAGACTCGACAGCTGGAGCTGAAGACCAAAAACTATGCAGACCAGAGTAAGCAAAGCTGTGCACCCAACACCATTATACACAAGCCTTCCACACACATACAATCTACTTTAAAAATAATCTTCATAATTTTTTTTTTTGTTATATTGTCATTTGTGCAAAGCCCAAAATATCTGGTTGTTCCTTCCTTTGATGTAAAATTCTGAGCTTTCCAAAGGTGGGATGTACCCACATTAACTCAGCAGAGGCTACATTTCTTGTCTTTTGTGGTCAGTTTCTCCAGATGCAAGGTGCAAGATTTGGGCCTTTGGAACCTGGTTTCCAGTTTCTCCTTGTACAATCTTCTATTCTTATAAAAGTAATTTCATTCTTTCGTTAGTTACTTAGTTACTTAGTATATTTGTTTTTAAAAATACTTCCTTAATATGTGCAGCCATTGAAGTTCCCCTCAGAATTTGCTGGTGTTTTGTCCAGTACTTCTGCTTCTCTACGAGCCAGAAGAGCCAGTCTGAGAGGACAATTTAAATTGTTGCCAAACTAAGATGCTTACAGGGCAACCAGGCTACTGCTGAAAAACTTCTGTGGTTTTATTGCATTTGTGGTGCAGAATTACTGGTATTTGGAACATGCAAGTACCCATGAACTAAGTTTGTAACAGACGAAATCCCACAATTCTGTTTCTGTTTGTTTTATTCAGTAGGTATAAATTGATTTCTAAAAAAATAGGCATTGTTTCTCAAATAGTTTATTTTGAGAGCCAGGTGTATGTCAGCTGATAGCTGGATCTTCTCTTGCAGTTTCTCGACTGGAGGAACGTGAATCGGAAATGAAGAAGGAGTATAATGCTCTGCATCAGCGTCACACAGAGGTAGGATATCATCTTTCTAAATAAATAAACTCTTTGTCTATATCTACATGACTATATCATGTCAAGGAACTCAGCTTTACAATCCTAGTGATGACCAGAGCTGCTGAACTTTGGGAACATCAGAAATACCTGACTGGGGGGTGTAAAGAGGATGGAGACAGGCTGTGTTCACTGGTGCCCAGTGGAGGCAGCTGGCGCAAACTAGGACACAGAAAGATCACTGTGAACAAAGTAGTAAAAACCACTTTACTGCAAGACAATGAGCCCTGGCATAGGTTGTTCAGAGGCATATTGGAGTCTCCTTCCTTGGTGATATTAATAAGCCAGCTGGACACAGTCCCATGGCAGCCTGCTCTGTGTGGCCCTATTTCAGCAGGGGGTGGACTGATGGACTTTAGGACATTCCTTCCAATCTCATCTGTTCTGTGATGCTGTGCACAGTGTCCCGCTACCTCATCTCCCATTGCCAACAAGCCTCCAGGCTTGTGTTGTTGTTGTTGGGATATGTTCTTTCAAGGCTCTTTGGTTATGAGATGCAGTTGAAGTAATTTCTGACACTATATGTCGAGAAATTTCCTATCAGATTAGACCATTCACATAAATCATCAGCTTAGAAGGCAACAATAAAGACAAGGAAGTCTGCAAAAAAACCCAGGGAATTTGAAATGGATGCCATAGAAAATTAAACAAAAGTAGAAAATGAGCCTTTTCTTCTCATCTGTTTGCCTCATGGATTTTTTTCTCCTCACAGATGATCCAGACCTATGTGGAACATATCGAGCGATCTAAGATGCAGCAAGTTGGGGGAAATAACCAAACTGAGAGCAGCGTACCTGGGAGGAGGTAGGGCCATGACCTCTCCATGTAACAGGTGTCTCCTGGGAGCTTACATGCTGAGTGTGCATGTTTGAGAGAGAAAACAGAGCAGGACCTTTCCCTGGGGACACAGATTGTAGCTGAAGCTCTCATTTAATGGGTTCTGGGTGAGCTGTGGGTACTTGATGGTGAGGAGCTTTGTGTGTTGTTTCATAAAGGCAAAGTTTTATCATGCTATTGATGGTGCCTCTGGAAAACACATTTGTATTCTTAGGTGGTGTGTAAAAGTTTATCTGTAGAACGAATGGATGTGTCAAATAAAGTGTTTGTGTGTGTACATGTCTTTGTATGTGGGATAGGCAGCAAAACCATAGCAATTAAATGTATTAGCTGCTACAGGATATTTTCACCTGTTCTTTAAGAGGAAGCTTTCTGTCAGTCACCAAAGATCCTGCTTACATCCAGGAAATGGATTTTCCTCCCTTCCTGCAGTGTTTGGGTTCTGACTAGAAATAGATTGTCTAAAATATAGGAATCAAATGAGAAAAACAAAAAAAAAGCTAGATGTCAGTTTTCCTAGGCAGAAAAGACAGGCATGAGGGGTGTAGAAAGGTTGAGAGGACATGGTGTAAAAAGAACCAGTAGTTTGTAGGTGCTCGTCTGTTTATAAAATCTCCACACTATTTTTCTTCCTTCTCTTCTATCCCTCACAGTCTGGAAATCCAGAGTTAGCTCCCAGAACATGATCTGATCCTAGTGTTAGAGAAGGAATGGGATAAGTCTCTTAGGCTTTTTTCTTTCCCAGCTTATGCTTCTGGAAGAATATATCTGTGGAAGTGCTTACACAGTAAAATCTAAAAGTACCGTAGGCAAAAGCAAATTCAGGGCACCTCTCTTTTAAGTGGTGAGTCCTGTCTCTTTTAAGTCTCTTTTAAGTGGTGAGCACCTGCCAACTTTGAGTCATAGAATCATAGAATATCCTGAGTTAAAAGGGATCATCGAAGTCCCACTCCTGAGATGGACTGCATAGTAGAAATAATTTTTGATTTTTTCCTTTCTTAAAAGCTTAAAAGCTTTTCCTTTCCTGACTCTGAAATAAAAGTATATGAATTATAGCTTTATGTTAACATTCCATGAAAGAGTAGCCCACTGGAAAGTGTTGCTGGTTGTATCTACAAGGTTGCCAGTCTCAGTGGTGAAGGGCAAAATTTTCATCAAGAATGGCCTTTTTATGTCAGAGAAGTTAGTCTTTTACCCTTTAAGTGTAGCATATTGCTAGTGTCCTTGGAGAGAAACACTGTTGGTGAAAAGCCCGTGATGGGACTGTGATCCAAGTGTGTAGGAACTGCCAGTGGGAAGTGGGAGTTTTTCTTCAGTCTCCAGCTTTACACTGTTTGTGTGTGTGTGTGTGTAGCTCTCTGTTGTGCTTGTGCACAAGCACCTGGGGCAGGTGTGTTTTGATGTCATTGCACTGTTGGAGGGAGGAGGGAGGAACACCAGTGTTTGTGGATCACCCAGTGCACTGGGTGGGGGGGACAGGTATAATTTCTCATGACCTGTGAAACAAATTTGGGTGCATTTATTTTAAATAAATGGGACTAGGGAGAAGTTTCAGCAGCAACTTTTGTGGAGGTAGTGTGTATCAATAGCCATCCAAGAGGTGTAATGAGTTTGTACTCACTTCCACATGGTGTGAGTTGCAGTGCATGTGTACCTTATGTCTGTGGTGGGTTGCATGTTTGCATGACATTTGCTCTCTAATGGTTGTTCTTTTTGTCTCGCTTTTTGTGGGATTGCTGCTGTTTCGCTGTTGTGTTTGTCACTGCAGTCATCGCCAGTCCTGGAGGAAAAGGTAAATCCTATTGCTGCACCTGTACTTCATTAATCCAAGTGTTGGAGGTTGCTGTGGAGTGGTTACAGTGTGATGCTGGGAATGTACTGTACTGACATATTTTCTCTCTGTGTCTACTGACACCTGTGCTGGAATTGCTGGTTCAGGGCTGCAGCAGGACCCGTGGAGCTGGGATTAACACAGCAGGGAGAAGCTTGTGCATGCAAATGCAGAAGACACACAAGTTTGGTTCCAAAACAGGATCAAATGTATGGGATGGGATGTTTACACTTCACATCCCATAATGTTTTAAAAAGTCAGGAATAATAGACCCATAGAATCATAGAAAATCCTGAGTTAGAAGGGGTCCATAAGGATTTTCAAATCCAGATCCATCCCTGCAATCCCATCCTGTGCCTGAGAGTAGTACCCAAATGCTCCTGGAGCTCTGGCAGCCTTGGGACTGTGACCATTCCCTGGGGAGCTTGTTGAGTGTCCACCACTCTCTGGGGGAAGAATTTTTACCTGAAATTCAGCCTAACACTCCCCTGACACATCTGTATACAATTCCCTGAGGTTCCAAGAAATTTATTCTCTTACCATTCTCTAGAGAACAAGCCATGCCTGATTCCTGAGTGGAGAAGAACAGGTGTCAGTGTCAGTAGGTTTCCAAAGGCACTTTTGGCTGATGGTTGGGTAGGGAATGCTGTGCCCAGAGCCTTCAAAGAGAGTAGTTCTACTCTTTAAATTCTGGCAAACAAACTGTAGTTTTGTTATGTTTTGTAAACTTTAGGATATTGCTTGAAGAACTTCCTAATCCCAGGTTTTAGCTACTGCAAACCTGTATTGGAGAGTGTGCTGTTCACTTTGTAACTCAAGGTGGAACTAACAAGTGAAGTGTTAAAGCTCACCCTGGGTGAGTCCTGGAATGATTTGGGTATATGAGGGCAACTGCAGCAAAATTTAGACAAGCCCTGAGGACACTTTAAATTTATTTGCATTTAAATTTGGTAGCCAACTCCAGGACTGCAAAACTGGAATTAGCTCTTCAGCAGTGTTTGCTCTTTACCCTTTGATGAGAGATTTTGAAGAGGCTTGAAGGTGTTTCCAAAGAAACTCGGCAAGGAAATTTCCTAAGTCTTTGCTAAAATTCCTGTCTGAAGATTCTACAGCTTCTGATGCTACAGAGACTCTGTACCTCTGTCTCTTTAATAGGGACTGTGAAATTCACACATTTCCTCTCCATTCAGTGGCTCCTGTATTTCCTTGTGTGTTAAGTGTGTATGTGTTTGCATATCAACAAAAAAGAAAAGGGGAAAGTATAATTTAATGTCTATCAGCATACTTTTGGGGCAGCTCTTACGTCTCAGTGTTGTCAGTGAGTTACGTCAAGTCATTCCAGCATAGTCACTAAGATATTCTGGCTGCACCACTGGTTTGACAAGGACTGTTCTGCAGTTACAGGAAACTTTCTCCTGCTCTATACATCTGTGGAAGCAAGACTCTTACACTATCATTCGGTCCTGAAGAAAAGGAAAGATACAATGGTTAAAGCATCTCAAAAAATTACCCAGTTTTGTTTTCTCCATAAAAAAAGAGAGATTTTTTGGAAGTCGAATCTTAGGGACCCTTGGAATATTTCTTTATCAGTAAAACTAGGAATTTTCTGATTTTGTGGCATAAAGTGGCTCTGATTTCTAGTTTTGAATCCCTTCATAATCTCTTACACATAATTAACTCTACTTTCTGTGGTGCTTGTATCAATGCCAGGGTGAAGATTTCCTAGGAGAGGAAACATTTGCCTAGTACATTATTTAGAAACTTTTGTAGGAACTTAAAACCCAGCTGTTAGAAACTTTCAGGGTCTTGGAATGATAGCAGTGGGATAAAGAAAGCAGAGAGGCAGAGGTAATTGTCCCTTGGCATCATGACCTAGTAGGAGCAGATGTAAGTGGCAGGTTACAGTCATAAATTGGGATTTAGACAAACAGCGGTGAAATGTTTTCACTAAACCTTCAGCAGTTATTTAAGTCACAAGCCTTTCGTAATGGAAAGAAAAAGCTACAAGGAAACTGACAATTTCTATCACATAGGAGTCTGGACTTGAATCTGTGGAGAATGGTAGAATCATTAAGGTTGGAAAAGACCTCCAAGATCATCAAGTCCAACCTTTAATTGGATACCCTCATGCCCACTAAATCATATCTCAAAGTACCACATCCACACATCTTTTGAATGCTTCCAAGAGTTCTGAATCCACTACTGTCCTGGTCAGCCTGCTTCCATGCTTAACCACTGTTTCAGTGAAGAAATTTTCTGCAATATCCAATCTGAACCTACCTTGGTGCAACTTGAGGATATTTCCTCTTGTCCTGTGGCTTGTTACCTGTGAGAAGGTTAATGATGATCAGTGATCTGTGTTCTTCCAACACCCAGTTGCATGCCTCCTTTCTAAGAGGGTATGTATATGAAACTTCCATGTATGAGTCTAGTATCTTAAGGAGGGGATTTTAATGTAGATTCCTAGGAAAAGTTCATCCCATGCAGGCCACACTGGAAACACCTTTCTTGCCCTATCTTGCCTATCCAAGACAGGCCACAGGAGGCCTTTTTGCCTATTTGAGGTAGGCACTGATGCAGCAATGCAGCATGATGTCGTGGCTGGGCAGTGCTGGGAGTGACTTCGAAGGTTGGGCATTGTGGTTTTTCTCAGCAAATATCGTCTCCTCTGCTGGACACTCCATCTCTCTATTTTCTAAAAGAGCTAGTTGGTGTACCATCCCCTGTATTAGTGTGTTTGCTCTGTCCCAGAGGCCCTGTAGCAGTTGCTTGCCATGGTCATAGGTGGGGTGTCTGTGCTTGTTTCCAAGCCTGGGCATGACACCCAATGCTGATGATCATTACAGACAGGCACATGGAGGTCTGCTGTTACTAACAGTGTGCTACAGAATGGCAGGTTTCATCACACCCCCACAATTAAGCAGAAATGCTGTGCAGGAGTAGGTGAAGTATGATTGAGTCCAAGTGTAGGTGCACATCACACAAAGAATCAATTTAGTTCAGCTCCGCAGGGACTGGAGGCAATTAGAGATACTCTGAACCATTTTCTGGGTTCAGCAAGCTGCTGCCACAGCCTTTCCACCTCCACTGCTTGCTCTAGATTTTCTCCCACTGAAGCTTGATCTCAAAATCTGTGCCAGCTTTTGTTTGGAATCAAACCTGCAGCTAGCGAGTCACCTACAGTTGCCAGAAAGGAGAGAGGATGAACAGAGCATACTTAGAGACACCTAGCAATATGCATGATGCATTAATTTTTATCTTTGTTTTTTGAGAATGCATTGTGAGTGCATTGTAATACGGACATGGAGAGAGATCAAAGAGTATAAATACTCTCTTTCATGCTTAAAAGTGGAAGTGATCTAACCCCTCTGGTTCCTGTTGTTGAAGCTCACCAGATTTGGGGTGGAATGTCATAAGTTTAATGTAGATGACACTTAAAAGCTTTATTCTTCACCCTGTGATGACATCTCTAGAAGCTATGGAGCTTTTACTTTTTTGCTGTGAGAATTGTTTTCCGTTGCTTATTTTCCTTGTACCTTTATTTCTCAGAAGAAGCACTGACTTAAATTGGCTGGTGGTTCCCTGCACTTTCATGATCCTCCAAATTTCTCATACTGATTGAGCAGTCAGTTGAACCTGTTGTGGCCACTGACCCCCTCCCTATTAAAGTTTCCCCAGGAGGAGGTGTTACTCTAGCTGTAACACCATGGAACGGAGCAGCCAGCACCACGGAAGTGTGGGAGTTGGGAGTTCAGACAGCTGCCACTTGAGGGTAACAGCTGCAGTCCAGTTAATAGTGACTAGTATTTCACATACACTAGCTTGCTATTTGTTTTCTATCAGAACCTTGTACATTGCTAACACACTTTCCTCTCTCTCTCTCTCTCCCTGTTTGTCTCTTTAGCAGGAAGGAACGTCCCAACTCTCTCAATGTCTTCCCCCTCGCTGATGGCATGGTACGTGGGCAGATAGGGGCCAAGATCGTCCCAACACTGGACCACTGGCACCTGAGTGACCTCGGCCAGCTGCAGTCCAACTCCAGCTACAAGGTTTTCTAGACCATCACAGAGCAAGGGTTTCCCACTCTCTCGCTGTCGATAACATCTCACATTTTCATTAAGCTAGAGACAATCTGTGTCCGTAACCCTTTGCAGCCTCTCCCTATGTATTTGCTCCCATAGTAGCTGTGCTGGAGGTGGGAGGATATTCTTCTGCAGATCTGGCATATGGTGCAGGAAGGATTTGACGCAGCCCCTCATGCTGCTTGTCTCAGGGATAATCTCCTTTACTTGGCTGGCCCCAAGTTGAGAGGGATGTGTGTGAAAGGAGTTAGGGATTGAGTGAAGAGAAATCCTTCACTTCTTAATGGTTTATTTGGAAGAAGGCATGGTGGAACCTATCTCTTCTCTCCACCTCGATAAGAGCAATGGTTCTGCAACTCAAGTGGGGCCAGGCATTGTGTTGCACTTGCCCATAAGTGTCTGTCATTTTTGGCTGATCTCCTGGCCTTCCTGTCTTCACTAAAAAGGGCTCCCTTGTTATTCTCTCTGGATGCCCAAGTCTTGCACTGCGCTTAAAGGTCTTATGTTCCACCTATGCCTAGTCACTGCTCTAGACTTGCACTGTCTACCTTCAGTACATCTTTCACTGTTACTGCTCTGCCTTCTGCATCAGGTGTTCCAAAATCCTCACAGCATTGCAGCAGCACTGGAGCAGCTCATGGTGCTGCCTGATGCATCTTGTGCTCTGCTCTGCCATTCAGAGGTCTCCACTCTGCTATTTGGAGATTGGTCTGAGCCCCAAGGCCCAAGTGGTGTGCTCTGAGCTGACAGCTCACTGCAGCTATTTACAGATTAGGCTATGCATGCTACAGTGCATTTCCCATGATCTATACTTGTAGATTTTGCAAAGTCTTTGTGCGTAGGATCCCACCAAGTTCTCCTCTTTAAATGATTTTCCACAAATGCCTGGTGACAGGTCTGAGAGACACTGGTTTCTCTGCTGAGCACAGCTCAATGTGTCCACTGGTATCTCAGAGATTTTCTGCTCTACTTCAAAAGTGTCTGATTAAATTTACCTTCACTCTGCTTGGAATTTGTAGAACATCAGCTGTTTTATGTGTCACATGTAAGGACTGGTCTTCTTTTGAAAAGTTGTGAATCACTGATCCTGTAAACTACATTGAGGCAGTAAAGGCGAAGAGGAGATTAAGAAAAGGAAATCCCCAGCCTGTTGTACCCCTTCTGTATGTCTCCAGATTCCATGAATGGGCTTTCACGTGAGGCACTCCACAGCAGTGGCCTTGATGCATAGACAAATTCACTGTTTACTCAGAAAACAAAGCAGCAAGTTAATTTTTTTAACACTATGTCTGTAAAACAGCCAGGCCTAGCACAGCACAGATGTCAGCAGTTTGTCAGCTCTCTGCCATTGTGGAATTTGGAAATCCAAAATATCTTTGCCTGTTGGCAAAAGATGGAGGGTTGGAATCCAGTCCTTATTGTAGTGTTAGAGGCACAGAATTTTGGGAAATGTAGCAGCTTGTAGAACACCATTGACATCCTACAGCTGTTCCTTGAAAGCTCTGCCTGAAATTACAGAATAGCAGTGCCACACTGTACAATAACATAATAACGGATGGCGGAAATGAGGACAGAGCATGAATGTGTTTCTTCGTGCTTATGCTGTGCCAAGACAACCAAAATGTATAGAGCCCAGCCCACCTCTGGAATCAGTTATTCCAGAGGCTCTCCAGGCAGTGCTGCACACCTTGGCATGAACAGACCTTCCAATGATCATGGGCAGTGGGGGTTAGTTTTTAGAGAAGAACTGGATGGACAGTGTTGTTAGATCCATCTTCCACAGCCTTGCTAAGGTCTAATTCTTTAAGTAGTCCCACTGAGAACTTGCATAAGAAGTAACCCAGCATCTGCATTTCAGGGGAATGCAGCAGCAACTCAGATAAATGGGAAGCTTTGGTGGCCAAGTTCAGCTCAGAGTGGAGTGCTGGGATAAAGGAGGCTAGATGGTACAGTGGACCTGAGGAGCTTGTGCTGTGGAAGACTTGGATGGGTAGTCTGTTACGGAGAATTTCCTGAGTATGGAACAAATTAATGAATAATTAAAGGATGTAATTGACTGACTTGCTAGTTTGAAATGGAGATTTTCCTCCCACAAGTTTCTTGAACACTCTGTGACTGAAATGCTGTTTCTTAAATCCTCTGTATGACTGACTTCTCAGAGGTGTGGCTCATGCATCCCTTGCCTCTTCTTCAGAGCTCTGGTATTTTGCTGACATCACTTACTCATGACTCACTTTCCCAGTATGTACCTGACTATTCTCACTATTTTTTCTGCTTCATGGCGCCATGCTGTGCTTCCATTTTAAGTATCCTTGTTTTCTTTTTATTACTATTTTCTATTTTAGTTGCTGTCATTATTTTATTTTTGCATTCAGTTGTACATTTATTTTATACAATGTTTTGGAGATAAAAGTCCTTAACATTTTTGTTTTTATGTACTATGCTTTCAGTGTTATAACCATACAATTGTGGCTTCTCATGGTGACATATGACTGCTATGAATGTTGGGCCTTTACAATGCATTTTGGAGGTCACTACTACACAGTTGATGTTTAGGAGGTTGACAGGTATGACTGTAGGTAAGTGGTGGCTGTGGAGATTATTCTTTGGGTGAGCTATGGGTTTTGGAGAATGCCTCCTTTGCTGGAGAGAAGAGCTGTACTCTTAGTGCAATATTTAGCATTAACAGAGCACTCAGACAGTAGAAGGAAGATACCAGCTTCTGGGCTGCTAAGAGGGATACATTGGTAGTATATACATTTGGGAGGAATTTTCCAATGCAGGCTGGAAGGTCGATAAATTATGCTTTCTAGCTAAATGCAAAATTCACATCTATAACTTAAGAGTAGTGAAAGACCGGGGTAATTACTTATTCATGTGTTCAGGTAAGAGGCAAGTTATGTCAATAAACAAGAAGTTACAGGATATTGCTGATGCAAATATCACCCTATAGACACTGATGGTCCAGGGCTTTTGGATGACATCTGGTTCATAAGTACGAGGAATGACAAGTGGAGTCGACCCATCTGGGTGTCTCTTACATGCCTAAGATGCTTCTGAACTTCAGTTATTTTCATAGACTTAGAGTGGATCCAAGAACATCCCTGAATTCTTTCATCCAGCAGCAGTTTTGTTTGAGGAAAGAAGTTTAGTGGTGGCACTTCACACTTGATACTCTTTGTCCCTTTGTACATCTGAAAGCACAGAAGACAAACTGCAGCTGAAGTAGTCCAAAGCTTACTGGAG